CCCCAAACACCTAACCTTATATTGATATTTTAAGAAACAGTAAAAATCAGGCTAAAGCTTAACAGAGCCCCAAATACATCCCCATTGGAAGTGCCCTCTCCCATCCAGTGTATTGGTTTCCTTCTGCCTCTGGTGCCAGCCCTGCTGTGTCCTGGCTTTCAGAACTATGCATTGGACATTCCTGTGTTGTGGACGCCTCCATGCACATTGCTCTCTGTTACCTTGAGTTCTTCAAGCCAAACTTGTAGATTTCATTGCATCAGAAGTTCATGGCTGGGAATGTGGCTTTGTGCTAGAGGGTTCCATTGTTCAGTACCACATAAACAGAAAAAAACCCAGAAGTAGTGCTGTGGCTTGAGTGATAGAATGTTAGCCTTAAGCAAAAAGAAGTTCAGAGACAGGGCCCAGGCCCTGAGTTCAAGCCCAAGGACTTGCAAAATGAAGAAGAAGGAAGAAAGAAGAGGAAGAAGTGGAGGAGGAACAGAAAGAGGAGGAAGAGGAGGAGGAGGAGGAGAAGGGGAAGAACAAGAAGAGGAGGAGGAGGAGGAAGAAGAAAGAAGTTGAAGAAAGAAGTTCATGGAACTTCCTGTACCATACTGATTGTCTAATTATTCATTAGTGTTTGTTCTTATTCCCTTCATTTTATCTTTTTTAAATTGCAAGACAACAGGTCTGTGTTGTCTTCTTCAGTGTCTACCATGGACTCCGAGAATTTGAGCATTTCATTCTTTTTTTTTTTTTTAAATTAGGAATTCTAGGGACACAGCTCTCCGGGCCAATAATTATTGTTATCTAACTGCTTGTGCTTAAAAGAAATTGCAAGTCAGTTGCCAGTGGCTTGTGCCTGTAATCCTAGCTATTCAGGAGGCTGAGATCTGAGGATCCCATTTCAAAGCCAGCTGGGCAAGAATGTCAGCAAAAAGTCAGAAGGGGAGCTGTGGTTCAAGTGGCAGAGTACCAGCCTTGAGCCAAAAATTTAAGGGGTAGCACCCAGACCCTGCATTCAAGCCCCAGTACTGATACAAAAAAGAAAAGTTCTCGGAGTGTCCTGTTAAAAACCTGAAATGCCCGATGATCCATGGGTTGCTGGTTAGAGAAGAGTCAGATTTAAGAGACAAGTTAGGAAAAGCCGACAGAATGGCTAGTGCAGCAGCAGAAACTGACAAGTTAATGAGGTAGACAAACCAGGTCTCGTGTGGTTAGGGATTCCTAATATAAAAGCTGAAGTCAGGATCTGGTTATCCTCTCCATGGGGATTTACACGTACCCTAGAGCATTTCATTTTTTAAAATTTTTTTGGGGGGGTCTGGTTGTAGGGCCTGAACTCTGGGCCTGGGCACTGTCCCTCAGCTCTTCAGTTCAAGGCTAGCGCTCTACCACTTGAGCCACAGCGCCACTTCCGGCTTTTTTCTTTTTGCTTATGTGGTGCTGAGGAATCGAACTCAGGGCCACATGCATGCAAGGCAAGCGCTCTACCACTGAGCCACCTTCCCAGCCCCGAGCATTTCATTCTTAATTCATAGGTTCTTTTTTTTTTTGGTTGGTCTTGGGGCTTGAACTAATTTTTCTTTTTTTTGAGCTATGATCTTCCTGCCTCAGCCTCCCAAGTGCTGGGATTACAAATAGGTGACCCCAAGCATACATTTTTAATTGAAATTTTAAAAAATCACCAGAGTCTATTTGCAGTCATCCTGTGCTATATAACTTGATCTATTCATTCAGCATGCATTTATTTAGCATGTTATTAGGCACTGTTGCTAGGCAGTGGGTATACACTGATGAATGAAACATGTATAGTTCCTGCTGTCATTGCTCTTCTCAATATTAAAAATAGGTAAATAAATACATAATTTTAACTTGTAATAAGTGTTATGAAGGAAAATGGCAGGGCACTATGAAGGAATGTAACGGGGAGATTGCCATTAGAGGGTGCTGGTATGTCTAATAAAGGCTACTTAGGAAGTAGTGAAGTGGGAGGCCTTAAGAGGAGCTAGGACCAGGGGAAGATCTCTTTGGGAGTGAGAACAGCCTTTGGAAGCTTAGTTTTTCCAGGTACAGTATGATTAAGAAAAGGGGGTAATGGGAATTGTTCATCTCTTAGTATCAGTACTTAGTCACATTGAAGTTTGCTATGTTCTATTCTTTTTCTTTTTTTGGTCAGTTGTGGGGTATGAACTCCTTGAGCTTTTTGCTCAAGGCTAGCACTCTACCCCTTTGAGACACAGCTCGACTCTGGTTTTCCAGTGATTAATTGGAGAGTTTCATAGACTTTTTTTTTTTGGTCTGGGCTGGCTTCAAACTGTGATCCTCAGATCTCAGCCTCCTGAGCAGCTAGGATTACAGGTGTGAGCCACCAACACCTGGCTTGTTCTTTTATTAAATGTATCAAATGCTGAAAATTTGGTTGCCAGCCGATGTCACTGTTGGGAGGAGGTAGAACCCTTAGGATGAGGGGCTTTGTGCAGGGACAGGTCATATAAGAGCATGCCCTTGAAGGGGGTCTTGGGATCCCAGCAGATCCTGTCTCTTTGCTTCCCAGCTGTTACAAGGTATCCTTGCTTTGCTTCATGCTTCCTGCCATCATGTACTGCTTGCCACAGGTCCAAAGGAAGACAGCCACTCTGAAACCATGAGGCAAAAATTAATTGTTCCTCCTTTTAATCCAACTCTCCTCCCACCCCACCCCTCACACCTTTATCTGTACTGGGATTTTTGGACTCAACACCTCAACTCTTACTTGGTCTTTTACTATAGCTGGCACTCTACTACTTCAGCCATAGTTTTGGTCCAGCTTTTTGTTAACCAGTAACGTGGTAGAGGGACAACTATGCTTGGAGAAGAGTCTTGTGGACTTTTCTGTCTAGGCTGGCTTCAAACCTTGATTCTTCATGTCTTCACCTACTGAGTAGTTAAGATTATAGGTGTGAGCCACTGGCACCCATTCTTCAGCTGGTTTTTATATTAGTTTTTTTTTTCTTTTTGTTGGACTCTGGGTCCAGGCCCTGTCCTTGAGCTTTTTTTTTGCTCAAAACTAGTGTTCTACCACCTTGAGCCTCAGCTCTACTTCTGTTTTCTGTGGTTAATTGGAGATAAGAGTCTCATGGGCTGTCCCGACCAGGCTATCTTCGAACTTCAACCCTCAAATCTCAGCCTCCTAAGTAGCTAAGATTACAGGTAGGAGCCATCAGTGACTGGCTTACATTAGTTATTTTTGGGATAAGGTCTCACTTCCTGTGAGACTTCCTGGACTTGAACCGAGGTCCCCTTATTTTAGGCTTCCTGTTGTATTTGGGATTACAGGTGCTTGCCACTATTCCTTGCTATTAATTGGGACAAGGTCTCATATATAAGCTTGGGCTGGCCTTGAACTGTGATCCTGTCAATCTCTTTCTGTCAAGCAACTGAGAGTATTGGTAAGAATTATTGTCATCCAGATTTAAGTTGTTTTGTCACAATGACAGAGGTTGACTAACAAGAGTTTCTTCATGTTATGGGCCTGTATTCTTTCCAAACAATTTTCAAAGGATCCACTCGCCTTCTGTCAAAAGGGTATTTTGGTATGTTTTTAAAAGCAGGTCTTTCTCAACGCTGTCCCATCATCCTACTTTTATTGCAGCTTTTACTTAACAACTCTATCTGGCAACTGGGAAAGATATTAGCAGGTTACGCTTTTGACATCTGCCCATGTGTTCAGCAAATAGGAATTAAGCTTTTTCTTAGTTGCAGATGTTGCCTTGGACTCTAGGCCCCCTAAGGGACCTTGACTGACTCAGGAGTGAGCCTCTGGGGTAAAAAGAAGGGGGTAGAAGGGCCTTCAGCCACCAGTTATCTCTGGACATTCCTTCCTATTAGCAAAGAAAGAAAACAGCCATTGACATTTTCCTTGAGGATCTGTTTCAGAACATTTTGTCCCATTGTGTAAGGCACTCATGCCTTCATTCTCCCAAGTGTTGAGTCTTGCCAGTGTCTGGTGCTGTTCCAGGTGCTGGGAACATGGCAGCAAGCTGTACTCATGTCAGTGGGGGATGCTGGCTGCACAGAGAGATGGTACAATGGAGCAGATGGGAGGGGTTGTAACTGCTACAGAGAAAATAGAAGGAGGGAAGGTGACTAGAGGGAAAGTCACATGGGAAGGAGATGACTGATAAAACCAGTGGTGGGGAAAAAGAGGTACTGAGAGGCTTAAGCCCCTCTGGGGGAACAGCACTCCAGGCAGAGAGACAGCCATGCTAAGACCATGCAAGTGCTGTTCAGGCTAAGGCCTGGGATGTTTGAGGGGCAGTTCAGAGCTCACTGTAGGTTAGGCAAAGATGCCAGGAGCAAGAGGAGAGGAGGTGAAGAGGAGGGGATAGATGTCCATGAGTTCCTATGACTCAGTGAGTTCTGTGATTTGTCCTCTGGTTAAAGGGGAAGCTGCTGGAGGCCCTGGGGCAGAATACTGAGAATTGCTCCTAGGGGCCATGGGAGGAGCAGGCTACCAAGGAGATGATGGTGGCTTGGACCCAGGTGGGTAGAGGGATTCATTCTAAGGTAGGGCTTACAGACTGAATATAACAATAGTTTTGAGGTAAGGAGAGTTTTCTAGGGACATGGGGAATTTAGATTGATACTGGACACATCAGGGTGCAAGTCAAGAAAGTTGTTTGCAAGCAAGGTGCCAGTGGCTCATGCTTGTAATCTTAGATACTCAGGCTGAGATCTGAGGAGTAAGGTTCAAAGCCAGCCTAGGCAGAAAAGTCCGTAAGACTCTTATCTCTAATTAACCAGCAAAAAGCCCCCCCCCCCCACAGAGTGTTTTGTAAGTCTGGAGTGGGAAGTAGGGCCCTGTGAACCTTGTGTGCGATGTGATGTTTACAGCCTTTAGCCTGTGCCTGACTGTATGTTGGGAAGGAGCTCCAGGGCCAAGGCAGATGAGAGGCATCAGAGGACACGGATGAGGTGGCCAGTAAGGTATGTAGGAACCCAGACTGACGATGAGTCGCTCTGCCTCACCCACACAGGTGTGACAACGTCCGGGTGTTTAAGCTGGGCCTCTTCTCAGGCCTCTGGTGGATGCTTGCTTTGTGCTGCTGGATCAGTGACCGAGCCTTCTGTGAACTGTTATCGTCCTTCCACTTTCCCTACCTGCACTGCGTGTGGTAAGGCCCTGCACAGGGGGAGTGGGCCGCAAGACAGGTATCGGACTTGCTGCTGAGCACAATGTACTTTATGAGGCACACAGGTGGACTTAGGGTACAATGGCCAGGCACAGATCCCAAGCCTGCCTCTCCCCTTACGTCTCTTGTCTGACATTTCAGAAGCAACAGAAAGTATTGTAGAAAGGAGAATGGATGCCAGGCTGCAGGTTTAGCCAGAACAAAAAAACCGAATTGTTACGCTGCAGGGCTGTAGTCTCTCACCTCCTAGCTCCATAATTAAAGCACAAAGGAGAGTGAAAACGGAATCTGTCATGCTCTCCCTGTAGCTCTGGCTACATGGGGACGGGGTGGTTCTCAGGATTCTGAGTGGCCTAGTGAAGTTGCAGGCCTCACAAGTCATGGGGGGGGGCAGTCTTATCTGTTCTTTTTACAGGTAGAACAGAGAACTAAAATGAATTGTTCATGATCATTCATCTGTTTATATAAAAACGCCTTGGAGTTCAGTAATAAGGAACGGGAGCCTCTGTATTTTGAGAAACCGAAGATTCATTATAAGTTTAAAGAAAAAAAAAAGTAGGTTAGAAAACTGCATGCAGAAGCTCCACCCAGAAAGCCGAGGAGGAAAGGGGAGTAGTTTTCTTCCTAGATCTGCTTCAGCTTCAAAACCCAGGGTAATGTTCCTTCTCTGTCCTCCCAGGCTGCTGATTTCAAAAGGAGGACAAGGAGCCCTGGTAGATTGAAGATATCCAAGGCCATTTAGTACTGAAGACCTGGAAGCTTTGTTCAAACCATATTCTTAACTTTTATCCTGAGATGGCTTTAAGATACCCCGCTTAAGAGCTGTGAATGGTTCAAGTGATAGAGTTCATACCTACAAAGTGCAAGACCCTGAGTTCAAACTTGAGATCACACACACACACACACAAACACAAACACACACCATCCTAGAGTCTCACTTAGAAACTTAGCTTTAATTATTATTGTAATATTTTTGGTGCCAATCCTGGGGCTTGAACTCTGGGCCTGGGCACTGTCCTTGAGCTTTTTTTTTTCCATCAAAGCTAGCACTCTATTACTTGAGCCACAGATCTACCTCTGGCTTTTTTGGTGCTTAATTGGAAAGAAGAGTCTCCTGGACTTTCTTGCCCAGGCTGGTTTTGAACCTCGATCCTTAGATATCAGCCTCCTCAGTAGCTAGTATCATATGAATGAGCCACCAGTGCCTGGCTCATTCATTTCATTGCACAAATGAACCTGAACTTGTATATACAATGCAACATGTATATATTTATACGAGTTCAGGGACTTCCAGATCAGTATACAAAAGACAAGACAAGACAAAACATCACAAGTTGGGGTTTTCAGTTTTAAGAGCCATTGCCTGAAATCTCTTAGGTTTCAAAACTTCACTTTTTACAAAAGTCTACAAGAGAATGCCTTTCACTCACATATGGTGCTTTATTTGTTCTTTTAAATCTTTGCTAACTGAATACAAAATATGTTTACTTTCATATCTTAAAAATAGCATTGTTTGGCATCTTTTCAATTGGAAATTGGCTATGTGTATTTCCTTTTTGGAAATGTGCCTTCTAATTTTCTTCATCTTCTCTATTGTGTTTCTATTTTTATAAAGTTATAACCAGCACCTCGTGCCTTTCACATAGCAGACAGTCATTATAGCCTCCATAACTGTGTGACATTTATTATGCAAATTTGTAGCATTTCCCAGAGCATGCAGAATAATACATTAAGCCCCCAAGTAGGCAACACTGGCTTCTGCTATATAATTATCAACAGGAGATCATGTCTTATCTCTACCATGCCACCCACTCTTCACCCCACCCTGATTGTTCGAAAAATACCTCCCAGACAGTGTATGGAATGGTGAACTTTTCTAGTGTTCTTTGTAATGAAGAGCTTTGTGTGTGTGTGTGTGTGTGTGTGTGTGTGTGTGGCTTGAACTCAGGGTCTGGATGCCTCGTTTAGTTTTTATTGCTCAAGGATAGTGCTCTGCCACGTGAGCCACTTCCAGCTTTTTAGTGGTTAATTGGAGATGAAAGCTCATGAGCTTTCCTGTGCAGTTAGCTTCTAATCCAGAGCCTCAGATATCAGCTAGGATTATAGACATAAGCCATCAGCAACTGGCTGTAATGAACAACTTTAACTGTTTATCATCATGCCAATATTCACCCCCAATTTTCCTTTTTTTAGTGTGTTAATATTCTTTGTGCTATACTGGTTTTGACCTTTTGTGTTGTCACATCTGTCAGGTGTGTGAGTGTGTGTGTGTGTGTGTGTGTGTGTGTGTGTGTGTGTGTGTGTATGTGTATGTATGCACATGTGTCAGTACCAAGGCTTGAACTCAGAGCCTCATGTCCTCACCCAGCCTTTTCACTTCTTGGCTAGCACTCTACCATTTGAACCAGGCCTCTACCCTGGCTTTTTCCTGGTTAATTGAAGATGGAGCCTCATGGACTTTCCTACCTGGGCTGACTTTGGATTTTGGTTATTAGATCTCAACTTCCTGACTAGCTAGGATGACTGACTTTGTGTTGTTCTAAAAAAGGCCCCTCCTCCCAAAGTTTATAAAAAATTATTTTGGGGGAGTACATTACAAAAACATAAATTAAATCATGAATTAAGTTCATCTCAAATTAAATTTAATATCAGGATAGGGAATAAAGAAAGCTTACAGGGCTGGGAAGGTGGCTCAGTGGTAGAGCGCTTGCCTTGCATGCATGAGGCCCTGGGTTCGATTCCTCAGCATCACATAAGCAAAAAAAAAAAAAAAAAGCCAGAAGTAGCACTGTGGCTCAAGTGGTAGAGCACTAGCCTTGAGCTGAAGAGCTGAGGGACAGCGCCCAGGCCCAGAGTTCAGGCCCCACGACCGGACCCCCTTCCCTCCTCCCCCAAAAAAGAAAGCTTACAGGGCTAGGAAGGTGGCTCAGTGGTAGAGCACTTGCCTTGCATGCCTGAGGCCCTGGGTTCGATTCCTCAGTACCACATAAGCAGAAAAAAAAAGCTGGAAGTGGCTCCGTGGCTCAAGTGATAGAGCGCTGGCCTTGAGGTGAAGAGCTGAGGGACAGAGCCCAGGCCCAGAGTTCAGACCCTATGACTGGAACCAAAAAAAAAAAAGAAAGCTTACATGCCACAGGGTCCTTTGCTTGCTAAGATAATACTAAAACAGGGACAGTAAAAGTAAATGTAAAGGAAAGGATTTGTCTATGAAACTCTGAATGCTCTGTAGTGAATGTCAGCTTAATCTGGATGCAGGGGCTCCTTTATCTATACCCAGTTGTTTAGGTGAGAAGGCAGGATCTAAAGTTTGCTCTAGTTATCCTCTTGGAATATCTTTTGAATATTCTAAGATGGGGCTCAGATTGCTCAAGATCTACGAACCCTCCTGCTCCGAAACTTCATCCCTTGCTAATTGTGAGGAGTTCTGGTTCCTAATTCCCTGGGGAAGGGTGTGCTAGAGGGAGGGAGCAGGCAGGCCTCCAGCAGTCATTGCCTGCGTCTGACCTCACCCATATCTTTTGCAGGCACATCCTCATCTGCCTCGCCGCCTACCTGGGCTGTGTGTGCTTTGCCTACTTCGATGCTGCCTCAGAGATCCCTGAGCAAGGCCCGGTGATCAAGTTCTGGCCCAGTGAGAAATGGGCCTTCATCGGTGTTCCCTATGTGTCCCTCCTGTGCGCCCACAAGAAGTCGCCAGTCAAGATCACGTGATGGCAAGGCAGAGTGGCTGGCCTCTCTGCTTCCTTTCCTTCATGCACTGGGCTTCATTTGCTAGCAAAGACAGCCAAGGGTGTTGGGTGTGTCTTTCTAAAAGTTCTGTTCCTTTGGGCTCTAACTAGTGTCTGCGGACTGCCAGGATTCCACTTAGCCTGGAGAAGTGTGTGAAAGTAGATGGTTGGGGATATGAGATGTACCTTTCCCAGCATCACTTGCAGGTGCATCAGCTTGCTGGGCTGGGGCAGAATAGTCTCTTAGGGCTCCTGAGCATCCTATTGGCCTCTTCCTGGAGAAGGTTGGCCCACCCCAGACACCATTCCCACGCTCTTTTGAAGTGGATGCTACCCTGATAGATAAGGATCCCCCCCCCCCCGCCCAGCCTGTCACGGCTGGAAGGTGCCAGAGACTTCCACTTGGGGAAATACTCTTTAAACCAAACCAAACCCCCACAGGACTGTGGCTCAGGAGCCTGTTTTCACTTGCCCTTGCCATTAGTCAGGTTTTCTGTACATTTGTGAATCCTTTTTACTACTACCTACCTCTGCTGAGAGATGGAGAGAGAAAGGCTAATGAGCAAAACCTTCTACACCAAAATCACACTCCACTTTAAGCCGTTCTTGAAGATGGGCACAACTTCTCAATGCTGACATCCTTTCTACCCTACTCTCCAGCCAGCTCAGTAGCCTCAAATCCACAGACTAGCTATGGTGCGAAGATGCTGTATGCCACCCCCTCCTCCCTCCTCACCTTGTGACCCCCTAGGTAAGATTACAATAGAGCTCTTTTCAGTCACAGTAGGGGGCGCTGGTTTAAGCTTCGGAGCATATAGGCAGTTTTATTTTATTTTGAACTTTTCCTCTCTTGAGGCTGCCAGTATGCCACACCATTCTGCAAATTACCTCCAAGAACCTTACTTCTTACTTTTCCACCTTTCTTGTGGGAATTCTCTCCACATTCCCACAATGCCAGGTGCTTCCTGTCGTTTTCTAGAGCAGCTGACTTGCTTGCTTTTCTCAGATGCTGGTGGTCACAATACACTGGCTGGCTGGTTGTGCTCATGGATACAGCAGGGCCAGTCTGTGACCTTCTGGGGTTTTCTCATCTAGCCTGATGCTGGCTACAGGGAGTCTCTTCACTCAGCTGCATGGTAGGCTCTGGCATAGTCATCGGGTCTAGGGTGGGACCTCGGGCCCTCAGGGATACTCACTATAACTCAGGCATCTCCTGCTGTGTAGCACTGTAGTGTGAGGAGAGGGCGCAGACATGGCCATCCCTTGTGGGTAGGTGTTGCAAGAACTGTTTCTCTGATTAGAATTGGTACAGGATCCAAAGTTTAGCAGCAAACCTTATTTATAGAAGAGTGATGTATGAACTAAGTGGTATTTTATTAGGTATATAATGGAAGATAAAATGTATAGGATTTACTTAACATGTTAGGAAGTGACAGTGTACATGAATGTATTGATGTTTTGCAAGGTAGAGAACACTGACAGCAAAGGGGAGTATACATGTTGCTTTGTAATAGCTTAGGATATATTTAAAAATGGTTTTGAGTTGAATATTTGGAGGAAATTGTACTTCCATGACATCTAGTGGTTCATGGATAGAACTGCTGTAACTCCTTTGGCTTTCTTGTCTAAGCAGTTTTAAAGGGAAATATCAGACATCCTCATTTGTGGTTGACCTTACCAGGAATAGATTCTAGTCTCATTTCTTTGGCAATGTAAAAATGTTTTAAAGTAGTGGTATTGGCATATTTGGAGGCTAGATGTCTTAATAGGAATAAGGAGAAGTAAGGAATAGAATGTGGGAAATGGTGTGTGTGTGTGTGTGTGTGTGTGTGTGTGTGTGTGTGTGTGTGTTTATCCCGTTTCCCTTATGTCAGGGAACAGTCAAGGAAGGACCATTGCTCTTTATCAGGAAAAGGGCTTATTCCCTGGCAGAGCTGCTAAAAAAAAATCCTGGATCCATCACTGAAATTAGGGGTAAAATGTAACTGATGGGCATATTTGAATGACCTGGAAGAAAGGAAAAAGGTGCCCTGCCTTGTGGGTAATTTCCAGCTCTCTTTTGTAAGACAAATGACTGAGGAATCATAAGGAATGATTTTATATGAACATCTGTATGCCATTCTAGAGATTGTTTCCAAAGTGATAAGAGCTGAGAAAACAAGAAATGGATCATATTTGAGAAGGACTAGTTTTGAATGGAAGTCACTACAGCTTGCTCACACATAGTGGTAACTCAAGAGACCAGGCATACAACTTACCTTATTTTAAATTGGGTGAGAATAGGATCCATATTTATATCAAAGCACTATATGCTCTTTAGAGAAAACTCAGAATTTACAAAAAAATGTAGAAGAAGAAAAAGCAACACATGTTTCTATTGCCTAAAAAAATTCATTGTTAATACCTTGATATTTGCCTTCCTTTCTCATAAAACATTTTTTCTAAAGTAGTTGTAGATAGATGTCTTCTAGTGTTGAGAGTTCATCTCCTCGCTTGAGTGGAATATGTGCAACAGTTGGGTGTGTTTGTGAAAAGCAGGAGTGAGATAACTAGAGTTTGCTGTATATTTAACTACTGATGGCTAGATTCTAGACTTACAACTGATCTTCCTTTTGTTTTTTGTTTTTTTCCAGTCCTGGGGCTTGAATTCAGGGCTTGTATGCTGCCCCTGAGCTTCTTTTACTCAAAGCTATTGCTCTACCACTTAAGCCACAGCTCCACTTCTGGTATTTTGAGTAATTTATTGGAGATAAGAGTCTCATAGACTCTCCTGCCAGGGTTGACTTTGAACCATGATCCTCTGATCTCAGCCTCCTGAGTTGCTAGGATTACAAATGTGAGCCACCAGTGCCCAGCTATGATCTTCCTTTTTAATTAAGTCTGACATGAATGGATCCTAAGACATGATAAGTGGAATCCTTCTTTATGACATTCTTTCTGCACTTAGAATGATGAGACCTAGTAAATAGTAAATGTGTTACTTCATAGGTTTTAATGGGTTTGGATTTTTTTAAAAGTTAAGCTCATCTCAGTAATTCATATAAGATTATGAATCTCTCTCTCTCCTAATGTATTGACATTTCCTAATGTCTTGATTATGGTTGTCCGATTTCACTGTGGCTAGAATCTGCCTGAGATCTATAGCCTGCAGGAACTAGGCTAAAGATATGAAAACCCACTAATGATAGCAAGTGATCATTTCCCACTGCAACGTTTTCATTTTACAGTGTTTGTTGGTTATCAGAAAAAGAAATCTTTCTTCTCTTTGTTATTACATTGTCATAAAGCAAGCACTTCAGTGCACACATGGAAGGCGTGTGGGGTAAAATGTCTGAATTCACTTGGTAACGAGCTACATGTTGGGGGAACTCCATGCCTGACCAATCATGAGTGCCTAAAACATTAATCATAGATCAAAGATGTCCTGTTGAAGACAAAACTCAGTGGACATCAGACACAGGCTTTGTAAAAACACTGCCACCAATTCCATTTATTGGGTTTCTCAGGCGTGTAAAACTTCTCTCACCAGTTCCTTTATGCTTCCCTGAGCCAGGGCAGTGGAGGCTGGGGGACTGGGATTTGAGCCTTCCCCTCACTTTGTCCCTTGGAGCTGATGTGGAACCATCTACCATCTCTGGGGGAAAGATCAGGACCCTTTCCTACCTCCTTCTCTCCATCCAGCTACACTTGAAATCCTCTTAGTGCTTCACCGGGGTGCTGTGGTTCCAGCTAGTCAAAGAAACATCTTGGGCCAGACTGGGATTCTTTTTTGTTTGTTTGTCTGTTTTGTTGTCAGTGGCAGGGCTTGAACTTGAGACCTGGGTGCTGTCTCTGAGCATTTTTGCTCAAGGCTAGTGCTTTACCACTTTAGAATCACAGCTCCACTTCCAGTTTTGGAGTGGTTAATTGGAGATAAGAGTCTCATGGAGGCTTTCCTGCCCGAGCTGGCTTTGAACCATGATCCTCAGATCTCAGCCTCCTGAGTAGTTAGAATTACTTGTGTGAGCTACTGGTTCCTGGCCAGACTGGGATTCTTAATAATGGATTTTATAGATACCATTCTCCTTTAGATGAAAAACATAGCTATCTTTTAGAGGACTCATTGATTTGTTTTTCCTGACACGTCAAACCAGATTTAAAGATTTTTATAACAGCTGTTTGTAATCAAAGAAAACACAGTATTTTTAGATTCTGTCTTGTACTTTCTCTAAGGTGTGCTGTATAAGGGGACAGTGCCCCCTGGTTGAAGTAGAATTTTAATCTCCATGACTTTGGGAGTGAGACTTTCTGAAATGGAGCTTTTGCACTTTATGCTCTTTCTGAACTCTGATAACTGTTTAAGATTAAAGATATAAGTAGCATTTCTTGTGAATAAATATGTATATATGTTTGTGACTATTTCCAAAATGATTTCTGAAGTATCTGCAGAGAAAATACATTTTAATTGACTGTAGAATGAAGCATATTTACCTAAGTTAATTTGTTAACATTGCTAAACATGCTTTAAATTAGTGTCCCTCATCATTGATTTCTTCTGAGAACTGTGAAGTTAATGCATCTAATATAGTCCTAGTACAAAGTGCTGAAACATATTTACTAGAAGTTCTTTCATTATGTCAGTTGGATATAAAATTGCAACTACATGTTACCAGTTCCTTTGTGGTGGGCTTCATCCAACTACTGGAAGATCTTTTGACTTTCTAAAACAGTAAATGACATTAGCAGGAGAATCTACACCTGTTTACTTTTTCTTAGTTTCCTATGACAGAAAGAATGAGAGGCCCAACAAAGAAGGATGGGAGCTCTGAGTTCAGTCCCAGTACTCCCTCCAGAAACGATGGTATCTGGATATGGGTTTGTCATGTATTTTATCTACCTTCATACTGTCAACTTTTTTCCTAATAAAAAGTTAAGAAAATAAAGCATTGAGTTTTGTTCATCCCTTTTGGAGTAGGCCTTGTCTTTTTCGGGGGAGGGATGGGAAGATGGGGTCTTATCATGTTGCACAGCTACTTTGAATGCCTGGCTCAAGAGACCCTCCCCAGCCCCCCAAGTGCCTGGGACTCCACTGGCCTCTGACTCCTCTAAAGTGTTTTGGCAGCCCCTGTCCTGTTATTTTTTGGTCCCAAATAACACTTCTGTCTCCATCCAGGTTGGTGACACCAGGTTATCTGAAAAGCCATATCTCTGGTTATTCACAAACAAAAAGGTCATCATGTCAGTCTATATTTATTATTGTGTGTGTGTGTGTGTGCCAATATTAGGGCTTAAACTCAGGGCTTTAAAATGTCCCTCATAGTTGGCATTCTACCTCTTGATCAATGCCTCAAGTCTGGCATTTTGCTGGACTGGAGTAATCCAGAAAAACAAGTAGTTAAAGTTACAGGTTGAACCAATGGTTCCTGGTTGTTTTATACTTGTTACAACATTCCATTCAGCTGCTTTTGCACTTGGATGCAGAGACCATCATGCTATTAAAAAAAATGTAACCAATATCAGTAGAACTAGTAGAATTTATTTTTACTCTAGAGCTGGAGATAAAACAAATGGTGGCTGGAGGCAAGGCTGAGAATGTGAAATGACAATGGAGGCATTGATACTTTCCTTACAGAGACAGATTCTGGTGTACAAAGCCAGTCAAATCCACCTAGGTGGGAGGGTTTGGAATAATTTTGGAGCATCATCTCCATCTGGTGGTAAATTTTGGGTATTGCTATTAGTGGCTCTAGAGACTCCCATGCCTTGTCAGAACTCACTGTAATAGTCTAAAACTCCTGTTATGCAAGGTCTTTCTGAGCCCAACCCAAGCATATTTCGTTTTTTTTTGTTTGTTTGTTTTTGTTTTTGGTCATGGGGCTTGAACTCTGGGCCTGGGCGCTGTCTCTGAGCTCTTCAGCTCAAGTGAGTGCTCTACCACTTGAGCCACAGTGCTACTTCCGGTTTTCTGGTGGTTAATTAGAGGTAAGGGTCTCACAGACTTTCCTGCCTGGGCTGGCTTTGAACCGGCATCCTCAGATCTCAGCCACCTGAGTAGCTAGGATTACAGGTGTGAACCACTGGCGCCCAGCTCTTTGTCTTTTTAAAAAAGCTTTTCTTTGCCTTTTTTTCTCTCAAAATTCATCCTTTTTTTAATTTTTAATTTTTATTTTCTTGTTGAGGTGATGTATAGAGGGGTTATAGTTGCATAAGGTAAGGAGTACATTTCTTGTCGAACACTGTTACCCTCTCCCTCATTTTCTCCCACTTTCCCTCCTCACCCACTCCCCTCCCCTCAAGTTGTAAAGTTCATTTCCAACATAGTGTCTTGTGAGTATTATTGTTCAGTAAGTCATTATTTATGCTGTAGGTATCTGAGCCTACTAGAATTTTGAATGTGCTTAATGTGATAAAGCAAATACATTCCACCCGTAAAACTAACTTACCATAGATATGATCTAGAGGAAGTTTAACTTTGGGGACAAATAGCTTCATTTGCACAAGTCAAATGCTATCCCTGCGCTGTCCCTGCGCTCTTCAGCTCAAGGTGAGTGCTCTACCACTTGAGTCACAGTACCACTTCCGGTTTTCTAGTGGTTAATTGGAGATAAGAGTCTTATGGACTTTTCTGCCCGGGCTGGCTTTGAACCATAACCCTCAGATCTCAGCCTCCTGAGTAGTTAGAATTACAGGTGTCAGCCACCAGCACCTGGCTAAATCCAGGTTTTTTTGGGGGGTCTGGTCGTGGGCCTGAACTCTGGGCCTGGGTGCTGTCCCTTAGCTCTTCAGCTCAAGGCTAGCGCTCTACCACTTGAGCCACAGCGCCACTTCCGGCTTTTTTCTTTTTTTCTTATGTGGTGCTGAGGAATTGAACCCAGGGCCTCAGGCATGCAAGGCAAGCGCTCTACCACTGAGCCACCTTCCCAGCCCAATCCAGGTGTTTCTTAAAGACAAATTTCTAAATTTTACGGTGCTAGAGCAGGAGCTCAGGCCTTCCCGTTGTTCTCAGCACTAGACTCACCTAATCTGAGCTTTCATGTGACATAAATTCCTGTGCTTTCTTCCGGGCTTGTTCTGAGCCTTCTGTCTCTGTCCCTACAGAGTCAGCTCTCTGTGTGATCCTACCCAATCTGTATTTTTGGAAGATTTTTTAAATTAACCCACAGTTGTACAAGTGGGGGGAGCCATTGTGACTTTTCCACGCCGCATACAACTGCCTCATCACTCTTCATTCCTCTCCACTCCTTCCCACTTCTTAAAACAATTTCAGGGGCATTCATTGTTTCATTCTTGTGCATACGTAGAACGTGCTTTGTCCATAGTCATCCTCATTCATGCTCTCCATTGGTCCTTCCCCCTGCCCCTGGTACCTGCCTCCAAACAAAGCCTGCTTTCCTTTCCTTTC